CCTGTTACAAAAAAAAACAAAAACAAAAACAAAAAACTACACACACACACACACACACACACACACACACAATAAACCTTTGTGGAACCACATACACGGAATTCTTGGAAGATAGAAATAGCAGCATACTTTTTATTTTTTTTTTTTACTTAGTATATGTTTGCAGTACATAATGATTACATTCGCTATAGGAAATTGGTGCACATACATAACACACTTCAATTTTTTTATTTCCCCTTCCTTTTACCCCTTTTATTTTCCAGCATCAGCAATAAACCTTTGTGGAACCACATACACGGAATTCTTGGAAGATAGAAATAGCAGCATACTTTTTATTTTTTTTTTTTACTTAGTATATGTTTGCAGTACATAATGATTACATTCGCTATAGGAAATTGGTGCACATACATAACACACTTCAATTTTTTTATTTCCCCTTCCTTTTACCCCTTTTATTTTCCAGCATCAGATTCATTTACTTACTTCATAAGACCCTATACAGTTAATTATCATATATACAGACTGAAAATCAGACTCATAGGCCGAAGAACATATAAAACATGTAAGATAATTCTACTAAGTCAATGTACATTTTTAGATACATTATCTATGCTGGATTACAGTAACTTTTTTCTCTCTCTCGCATTTTTTCTTATTATCTGTCTTTAATTTTGTATTCTTTATATGTTTATTGAGTTTTCTGTAGAAGAGAAACCACGCAGTGCCGGGGATGTGGCTCAGTGGCGCTGCGCCTGCCTGGCAAGTGAAAGGTCCTGAGTTCAGTCCCTGGTACCGCACAACAAGCAAAAAACACTCTGTATGTAAGCTTATGTGTTTGATTTATTTTGCTTAACATTAGGATCGCAAAGAGTATCCATTTTCCTACAAATGACTGAAGTGATCCTTCTTCATGGTAGAGTAGTACTCCATTGTGTATAAATATCACATTTTCTTTATTCATCCGTTGACAAACATATAGACTGTTTGCAAGATTTAGCTATTATGAATTGCACTACTATAAACATGGACACGCATATACAATGTGGTAAGATGTCTTTAACTCTTCTGGGAAGATATGTAGAAGGGCAATAGCTGGATCAAATAGAATTTCTATCTTTAATTTTTTTGAGGACTCACCATACTTTTTAAAGATACCTAAATTCCCCTTAAAAACCAACAAGAATGACCATTTCCACCTAACCTAGCTTTATGGCATCCTGCTAACCTTCATGGACCGTTTTAGTGGCACATCTAAAATGCAGCCTTTCCAGATAACAACAGCCCACAGTGAGTCCCAAAATGTTTTTTTGTCCCTCGCTGTCATTTGGAAATAAATCACTCACTCTTTCAAGATAGAAGTGCAATATTGCTTCATGTGGTACGCGTGTGTTGTCTTTCCAACTCTAATCTCATAGCTCTTTGTTTCTCCAAGAAGAAGTTAGGAGTTTCCTAGGCAGCTAATTAATACTTAAGGGCCTAAAGCAGCCTCTTGCAGAATAGATGTAATTAACTTTAATATTAAGAACTAAAGAGCCTCATTTTTGTTCTCTTTAGAGATCAAAGAAGCTGCTAATCCCAGTGTGTTTCCACAGTGCAGATTCTCGAATAGTTTTGTTTCTGCTGAGCTCTAGAGAGTTTGTCAGCAGGAATGGCAGAAAGAAAAGGCTGGAGCCAAACCCATTCTAAACATTGTGTAACTCCACAGCAAAAAGGCATGACCCTATTCCAAGATTCGCTATGAAATCACATGGGCCGAAGTGTGATCCTCCTGCCTCAGCCTCCTAAGCGCTGCAATTACAGTCTCAAATAACTCATTACCAAAACCACCTCCTTCACTCAAGACCAGGATAAAGTAAGATCAGAGTTGGAATATTCAATGTCACTTAAGAAACTTTTAAAAGATTCTGAGATTTGAAATTATGGAATATGCAGGCCACTCTCACCAATCAGGTTTTCCGGACTCCAGCCTCACCTGCTCTGATTCATCCTTCGCACAGTTGTCAGAAATACCTTTCTAACAAGCAAATCTGAAAACATCATTCTCCCTTTTACTATTATCCCAGTTCTGAAGCCCTTTGCATTATATCTTCTCAGCGCTGGGCCTTCCCTGCATTTTCCAAATCAGCCTTGTCTTCTGTCCCTTTTGTACCGTAGATCCACCAGTCCACTCACCCTTTCCCAGTTGAACTGACACAATGGCCCCTTGCTACACCTGCCACCCACCACACTGACACCCGTCACCCGCAATGGCTGGAACATCTGGCCACATGTGGCCCTACTTCTCCACATCACAACGGGCCCTGTACGCCATTCTGCCATTGCACTGCTGACATGTACACGTGCTTGCGTTCACAATCTCAAGGTACCCGAGGGAAGGCATCTGTTTTATTCGTAGTTGTCACCCCATTGTTAAGGACCCAATTAAAAACGCGATGGAAATTGGTTGAGTGGACAACCTAAAATTAATATTTACGTTCTTAGTTTTAGTTTGTCCTATCCTTTTCTGGTAAGTCCTCCAATGGTCCCTCCCCAGCACATTTTGGTCATACATGGCTTCTCAGCCTTTCTTTTGGATTTGCTCTTTTCCTTTAACCTTTTCTTTAGATGTTGTTACTCATTTAAAACGGGTCTCCAATAATTTCTCTCTCCTGTTTCTTTTCCAGAATTGAGAGAGCTGCTTCATTTCTGGTTAACCCATTTTCCCCTTAACTATGCTACAATTGTAACTTTTTGAACGCTAAGAGGGGACACCATTTCCACACCTAATCACACACATGGGTAACGTTTGCCAAGCATAGGTCCGCATCCGCTTAGCTAGCTACAACTTCCGGTACTGTAGTTTGGTGCGTTTGGAGGATTCACAACACGTTCTGACCTGGAACGAGGAGGCAAGAACTGTGGTAATGGAAATGAAGGTCTCCATGCTAAGGCTCTTAAGCAGGGACAGACAGGGTTCCTGACTCAGAAGTGAGATTTAGGAAAAGCAGTTATTCAGCATGTGTTTTCCGAAGTGCCTCGTGCTCATTCTATAGACAGTACCGAGCCAGTCCGAAAAGCTAGACATCCTAGGCCACAGCTTATCTTTGCTATTTCCCCCACCACAACTTCATTATCAGCAAAATTGAGATAGGGACAGGATTTGAATGAATATGAATGGATATGCTTAGTTTATTTTAATTTAGTCAATTTATGAAAATTTCACTACAAAGTTCAGGATCAAAACCTTTTCATGCTGTCATATTTTTTGCTCAATGTCTTTAACGTTTTACAGACTTCCTTATTCCACCCTGCCCTCAAAATACAACTGTAATCATAGCAACTCCGACTGTCTCCTTCCCAGTCCCCGTCCCAGGTCCCACCACCACTACATTCTGTCTTCCAAACAATCCCAGTTTAGAATTACGCCGGGAAATAATGAATGAACAGTCTGGTTGGTTTGTTTGGTTACAGTTCATGCAGTCCGATCTAATCTAATTCGATCCAGGCGCAGTCTCGGGCTGCCAGGGAGGCAGGAAGAGGAAGGCGGCGCGGGGACAGGGCAGAACCCGGGCCAGGGAACGCCACACCCCGCCTGCCACAGGGACCACAGCCACAGCCGGCCGATTCCAGATACCCCTGCGACCCCAGCCTAGTGGGCAGCGGCCGGAAGTGCGGCAGCCCGGGGGCGGGGAAATTGATTTAAGGCGGAGCTAAAGGCAGTCGGCCAATCAAAAGCTAGTGCCCCTCGGTGAGGGCGGAAGAGAAGCGGCCTAGTTCCGGATGCTACGGCCTCTGCCGCCATCTGTCACCTTAAGTCCGGCAGTCACTGCCGGTCGCTGCTGCGCTTTCTGTCTCGGCGGAACCTGCTTCTCTTCCTGCCACCTCTCTGCTGTGTTCTTATCTCCGCCTTCTTCCCCCAATGGATCTTGTGGGAGTAGCATCCCCTGAGCCCAGGCCGGCAGCGACCTGGCAACCCAGCAAGGTGAGTGGTTGGTGGTCGGGGCAGGCATACCTGTCTTGGTTACCAGGGCTCATTCTCCGGGAACACCGGGAGAGGTGCCACGGAAAGTTCTAGGAACGGGACCCCGACGACTTCGACCCAGGAGCCCGGGGTGGTGTGGTGGGAAGACGCGGCAGGGCTCCCAGAGGCTGTGCTGGCTGGGCAGGAGTTTGACTTTACGTCTTTGCACCTTTCTTCCTGAATCTCGGTAGCAGATATTTGAGCCTTTTACCGACGCTGGCATTGGAGGGAAAACAAGTACGATCTTGATTTTCACAGGCTGAGTCAACCCTACACTCAGAAAGCTAGACAGAAAGTTGATTTAGGAAGCTGTTTCCTTAAATTGACAAGTGTGGTTATCTTAATAAGGTAATTTATTGTTTTTGAAGTGGCAAAGATAAAACCTAGGCTCACCATCCCTCCTCCAAAGCAAATACTGAACTGTACACCACATGCTGTGAAACGTGTATGAATTTTCACGTTCTGCCTGGCTTTTAACGCTTAAACTTTTTCCTAGAATGGCAAACGCAAAACCTGTATCTCACATCTAGTTTTTCATTTTCAGGCTGCTCCCTTTTACGTTACTCTCACTCATTAGAAGGATGTAAGGGCTTCCTCCTCTCCGTAAGGGCTTGATTGAGAGCAAGAGTGCCTCCAATGGGATTTGTGTTCCTCAAATTAAGGTCGTGAAGGAACCTAGCTTTGAGTGTGTGTGTGTGTGTGTGTGTGTGTGTAACCTTCATAACTGTCTTTTGTATGCTAATTCAGAACACTTGTTTCCTTTAAAAAGTTCACCTGTTAATCTTATGGATCCTTCAGTCATGGTCTTACCAAGAATGGGGTAGTTATTAGGGAAGGTTAATTTTATAAAAAAATCGTATACAACTTTAGGAATAATATATTATGTTACATGTTATGTTGCATGTTTTTATGTAAAGACTTTTACATGGTCAAGATCAGTGGACATAAAAGGACAAACTTAGAAACAGATTATTAAATATATACCATATATACGAAACTATTCTGGTTAAACACCCACTAAGTTTGGTTAAAAAAAAAAGTTAAAATGAGACATACTGCTCTGCATACATCCTAACCTCAAAACAAATTTTACTTACAAGACTAATAATAAATATTTTAGATTTAGTCATATTCTCATTGAAATAAACATCAGAATTCTTAAAATTCCACTCTCATCATTTAACAGAAAGTGTGCTCCTAGGGTTTACTGATACTTAGTTGAGACAAGAGAGTTTTCACAGGTGAAGTAATCTAAAAGAGGCTGAAAGTGTTACTTAAATTTTTCCTCTAAACTAAGGGAAAACTCAAATGAGTACTAGAAGCCTACATGGAGGGAGGTGGAGATTTGAGGAACTTGGAAAATGGAAGGAATGTTTAAGACCAGTGATTCTCAAAACTTTTTGGTTAGGATCTTTTTATACTCTGAAAAATCATTGAGCCAGGTGTGGTGGCACATGCCTGTGATCCCAGCAATTGGGAGGCTGAGGCTGGAGGATCACCATGAATTTGAGACCAGCTTGGGCTAATGAGTTCAAGACCTGGACTATATAGCAAGACCCTATCTTGAAAAAAAAAAAAAAAAGACATTTAAGACTTCAAAGAACTTTTGTTTATATTGCTCATATCTATTGATATTTGTCATATCAAAAATTAAAACTGAGAAAGTGACATATCAGTTAATCCCTTTAAAAATCATGTAAATTGTGTTAGAGTAACATTTTTATATTTTAAAACTTTCCAAAACAAAAGAAAATTAGTAAACAGTATTGTTTTACTTTTTAAAACTTTATTTATTTTTTGAGACAGGGTCTTGCTATGCAGTTCAGGCTGGCCTTGAACTCAGTGCCAGTGCCACAGCCTGCCACAGCCTCCTGAATGTTGGGATTATAGGTGCACACCACCAGCCTGGCTTGTTTTACATGTTTGCAGATTCTTTAATATTTCCTTTATTGAAAATGGCTGGATTCAGTAGATTCATTCATAGTTAAATGGGTACATTTTCAGGATATACTTCTAAGTGAAATAAATAAGGCACACATATGCAAATACTGAATAGTATCTCTGGTGTGAAAAACTAAAATAGTACTCAAGATCCTAACGGGGCAATTAGCAATGTGAAATAGGAAGAAAAGGACCAAAGGTGTAGGGACAGTGAGAAGGATAGGGAAGGGGGAATAAGGGAAAAGGAAAAAAATATGAGAAAATGTAAAAATGGAATTAAAGTGTTTGAAGGGGGAGAGGGGAGGATGAAGGGAGAGTGGGGACAAGGGGAAAAAATGAGAACCAAGACCTGGCATGTAAAGGTACAGGATCCCAGTAATGAATGTAACTGTGCTGTCTACCTAGAATGTACCAATAAATTCAATTTAAAAAAAATAAAAGAAAATGGCTGGATTCTCAGATCTCTTTTTTCATTCAGTTGGGATGTTTTGATGGACTGAAGTGTATGGAAAGAATCAGACCAGATATAATTGAAGGCGGAAATATAAGCATAGTAGAAACACTGAGAGCAAACTGAGACTCTAAAAATGCCCACTTGCTACCTTAGAAAGTTTTAGAAACAGGAATTCAAAAGCTCACATTCCTGGGCCAGGATTTAGCTAGGGTGGTGTTATGCCTGCTTCACAAGAAAAGGTCCTGAGTTCGATCCCTGGTTGCAGCAGGGGGGATTCAAAAGCTCACTTTCCATTAGCCGTAGAAACACTGAGAGCAAACTGAGACTCTAAAAATGCCCACTTGCTACCTTAGAAAGTTTTAGAAACAGGAATTCAAAAGCTCACATTCCTGGGCCAGGATTTAGCTAGGGTGGTGTTATGCCTGCTTCACAAGAAAAGGTCCTGAGTTCGATCCCTGGTTGCAGCAGGGGGGATTCAAAAGCTCACTTTCCATTAGCCATCAGAGGTGTATAGCTCCTAGGGTTTACTGATACTTAGTTGAGACAAGAGAGTTTTCACAGGTGAAGTAATCTAAAAGAGGCTGAAAGTGTTACTTAAATTTTTCCTCTAAACTAAGGGAAAACTCAAATGAGTACTAGAAGCCTACATGGAGGGAGGTGGAGATTTGAGGAACTTGGAAAATGGAAGGAATGTTTAAGACCAGTGATTCTCAAAACTTTTTGGTTAGGATCTTTTTATACTCTGAAAAATCATTGAGCCAGGTGTGGTGGCACATGCCTGTGATCCCAGCAATTGGGAGGCTGAGGCTGGAGGATCACCATGAATTTGAGACCAGCTTGGGCTAATGAGTTCAAGACCTGGACTATATAGCAAGACCCTATCTTGAAAAAAAAAAAAAAAAGACATTTAAGACTTCAAAGAACTTTTGTTTATATTGCTCATATCTATTGATATTTGTCATATCAAAAATTAAAACTGAGAAAGTGACATATCAGTTAATCCCTTTAAAAATCATGTAAATTGTGTTAGAGTAACATTTTTATATTTTAAAACTTTCCAAAACAAAAGAAAATTAGTAAACAGTATTGTTTTACTTTTTAAAACTTTATTTATTTTTTGAGACAGGGTCTTGCTATGCAGTTCAGGCTGGCCTTGAACTCAGTGCCAGTGCCACAGCCTGCCACAGCCTCCTGAATGTTGGGATTATAGGTGCACACCACCAGCCTGGCTTGTTTTACATGTTTGCAGATTCTTTAATATTTCCTTTATTGAAAATGGCTGGATTCAGTAGATTCATTCATAGTTAAATGGGTACATTTTCAGGATATACTTCTAAGTGAAATAAATAAGGCACACATATGCAAATACTGAATAGTATCTCTGGTGTGAAAAACTAATAGTACTCAAGATCCTAACGGGGCAATTAGCAATGTGAAATAGGAAGAAAAGGACCAAAGGTGTAGGGACAGTGAGAAGGATAGGGAAGGGGGAATAAGGGAAAAGGAAAAAAATATGAGAAAATGTAAAAATGGAATTAAAGTGTTTGAAGGGGGAGAGGGGAGGATGAAGGGAGGGTGGGGACAAGGGGAAAAAATGAGAACCAAGACCTGGCATGTAAAGGTACAGGATCCCAGTAATGAATGTAACTGTGCTGTCTACCTAGAATGTACCAATAAATTCAATTTAAAAAAAATAAAAGAAAATGGCTGGATTCTCAGATTTCTTTTTTCATTCAGTTGGGATGTTTTGATGGACTGAAGTGTATGGAAAGAATCGGACCAGATATAATTGAAGGCGGAAATATAAGCATAGTAGAAACACTGAGAGCAAACTGAGACTCTAAAAATGCCCACTTGCTACCTTAGAAAGTTTTAGAAACAGGAATTCAAAAGCTCACATTCCTGGGCCAGGATTTAGCTAGGGTGGTGTTATGCCTGCTTCACAAGAAAAGGTCCTGAGTTCGATCCCTGGTTGCAGCAGGGGGGATTCAAAAGCTCACTTTCCATTAGCCATCAGAGGTATGGTATCTCCACACCTGATGTAGACCCTGGGAAACGCTATCCTTCAGATGATGGGAGTGGAAAAGACAATGTCTTGATATTTTTAGGAAAAATTTGACCTCATAGGCCCTTTGAAAAGGTCCCAGAAACCCTGCTTCTAGGACTGCAAGGTGCCAGTTACAAAATGCTGAAGTGCTAGGTTTTGTTTTGTTTTGTTTTGTTCTTTGAGACAGGGTCTTACTACGTAGTTGAGACTGACCTGGAACTCACTGCGTAGCCCAGGCTGACCTTGAACTCATGGAGGTCCTCTTGCCTCAGCCTCTGAAGGCTGGGATGATGGGTGTGTGCCACCACATCCAGCTGTAAAATGACTCAGATCCTCTGCTTGGATTACATCCACGGGCTGTATGGCTAGAAAACTGATCTTCTTGTGGGTTGTGATTTTCTTTCTTCAGCTGACTTTTTGTTGTTAGGTGTCTCCTTCATGTTTGCTTTTGATTTTACCTGATTCCTTCCCCTTATGTGGTTGTATAAAGTGGGGCAGGTAGCTAGGGGTGCCTTTAGGAGCTGGAAGGAAAGAGAGATGGTTTCTCTCTAATCTGCAACCAACAGGGCTGGGAGACTGTGGCCTTGCCAAGAACCCTGAGAAACAGTTCAGTGGTAACAGCTTCTCAGAGCAGAGGGGAACAGACTGGGTCTTAGGGTCTGTCAGCAACAGGAGAAAAAGACTCGGGAAGCTGGTTCAGGTTTATGGGATGCCCTTAGAGAGGACTGTGTGGGGTTTCTCATCAGATCTCCATGCTGTGGGGAGTCTGTGTTACCAACAGGAGATGACTGAATGCCTGGATAAATGAGGTTAGGAGGTTCTCCTCACCCCTGCCACCTTGGGTTTACTGCTGCTAGTGTAACAGTTGATAAAAAGTTAGATAGATTTACTGCAGAGTCAGAAGATGGTGAGAGAAGATACCTTAGCCTGTACCTCTGGAGCCTTTCCCAGAGCCTCTGGTGAATTTTCTCAGCATCCCTCAGTGGGCCAAGCTGGTGGTGCCTGGGGGTCAGCAAGGGTCTGATCTGGGGAGTTTGTGGAGGCTTTTGGTGGCCAGACTGAAGAGTTTGGTTGCATTTCCAAGTGTGGGGCTGGCAGCCTTTCTGGAACCTTCCCATACGGACCTCCACAGAGGAAGTAGCCTCATCGGAGGTGCCCAGCTGAGCTGGGACACCACGGCTGGCAGTGAGTGCTTCTCTCATCAGAAACTACAGTGGGCTGTGAGCACAACAGACCCCACCTTCTACAGGCTCCTTCTCTGTCATGGGGCGTGTGACCCCTAGTTAGCGGGGCTCCATGTTGACAGTGTTTGCCCAGGGCCTGGGAGCACAAGGAGAGGATCCAGCTTTGATGGGATGGCATGGACATGGCCTCACAGAGGTGACCTTTAATTGGTGTAAATAAAAAGGAGGAAAGGCCATGGAATAAAAGAACATGTGAGGGCATGGAGGGTGAGACGTGCCACACTCGGTGTGATGTGTGTCACCGGAGTGTGGGACAGGGAGGTTTGGGCAGTGGTGAAGGGCAGTCCTTGTCGAGGAGCTTGGGTTTTCTAGTGCAGGCAGCAGGCAGTTCGTATCTCACTTCCTGCAAAGGTGGCCAGGGAAGGAAATGCAGCCTGTGCTGCCTCCTGCTCCGGTTCTAGGCTCACCTTGGGTCAGAAAAGCTTTTGTCTGAGTTTCTAAACCTTTCAAGTGGAAATAATGTTGCAGCCACTCAGTTGCAGTGTGACGTAAATGGTCTCTGTAAGTTGTACATATCCAGCCAAGTGGCTTAAATATAGGTAATATTGCCCAGTTACCTGTTAAGTCACTATTAGTCACTGTCACATGTGAGTGAGAATTCTGAGCTGGAGAACACAGTCATTGGTGTTGTGGAACCTGGACTTTGAAACTGTTCAGAACAAGCATTTCTAGGTTAAAGGGCCGGAGGAAGTCAGCAGACTCACGTAAGCCAAGGACTTGGCTGTGCTCTCCAGATTGCAGAGCGAGTGCTTCAGTTTTCCGGACTTCCACGGCCTTGGTGGCCGATAAGTTCCAAGCCAGTTGGAGTCACACCAGGCCTTCAGGTGGCCTTCCTGTGCCCCCACCTCTGGCCCTGGGACGCTGGAACAGTTCTGCATTGGTAAATGTGGGTTTGTGCTAGGGGCCAGGCACATCTCCTGTCTCAGGGAGATTCTGATTCTCTCAGACGGAAACATAGGTGCCGTGTTTCTCACCCCTGGGTGCAGAGCCACATAGCTCCTGACCTGTTGGGCGCTGGAGCCTGCACAAGGGTTAGCTGCTCATAGCCCCACATGTCTTGCAGAAAGCTCAGAGCAGCTACAGGACCTGTGCTGGCTCACCCTGCTTGAAAGATGTGGCTCAGCCAGGTGTCCTGGTCGCTACATTCTGTACTAGATGTTCAGGAAAGAATGGGTTTGGACATCATATCCCACAGGCAATGGGAAACAGTAAAGAAGATGCAAGAAAGGAACCAGAACCGATCAGATCTGCATTTTTAGAAAAACCATCGTGTTGTGATACGGAGAAAAGAAACAAGACAGGAACAGAAAGATTAGTTAGGAGTTAGTTGAGACAATCGTGAAATAAATCTAGAAGCTGTCTCTCAAGAAGGGTGAATCAGTGGTGTTGCAGAAGGCCATCTGCTAAAGAGTCTCATTGAATACTTTGCAGTAACCTTATTGTTTCAATAAATCTGTCTTCTAAAGTTTAGAAATCTAATTTTTGTGCTTTTGATTTAGCATATACTACTGATGTTTTGGGATTTTTTTAACATACACATTTTACACTTAGTTAAGATTTAATGCTTAGATTAGAATGTTAGAGCTGGGTCAGGCATCATGGTGCCCACCCGTAATCCTAGCACCTGGGAGGCTGAGGCAGGAGGATTGCTGAAAGTTCCAGTGCAGCCTATGTAGTGAGACCCTGTCTCAAACCAAAATAAAACCAAAGAAAAAAGAATGGTAGGACCTCTAGTGGGCTTTGAATTGGGCTATTTAGTGTGGTGCCTTCTGTAAGATCTGCTTGGTAAGCCCCATCATAGGCAGAAGGGGAACAGGTGGTTGGAACAAGGGACGCCTTGAACTCCTTGGCTGGAGGAGGGTGCTGTGGTAGCCTAGTGCTAACTGCAGCCTGGAGAACACAGCTACCAAGCAGGCCAGAAAGTGCTTCTGACTGTTTTAGTTTGTATTTATTCTTTAAGATGGAGATATTTTTGCTTTTAAGATGATTTCTGCAGCCGAGTGTGGTGGTGCACACCTGTCATCCCAGCACTCTGGAGGCTGAGGCAGGAGGGCTGCCTCGAATTTGAGTCCAGCCTGGGTTACATAGTGAGTTCAAGGCCACCTGAACTACAGGGAGGGGGGTTGGAGGGAGAGGGAGAGGGAGACGCTGTCACAAAAAGCAAAACAAACAAAAAAGGTGTTTTCTCAAATAGCTAATCATTCATTTTCAGTTGATCTAACTAGTTTAATTCTCAAAAGATACAGTATGCCTGAGCAATTTGTTCGTTATTATAAGTGGAGCACCCTGTTTTCCTTTCTTCTTCTGTTTTAATTATGTAGTGTCCGTGGGCTGCTCCCCAGAAGCCACTATCCTGCCCTTTGTCTGATGTCATGAGTGAACAGTTGGCTACAGAACTGCAGTTAGAAGAAGAAGCGGCTGCTTTTCCTGAAGTTGCGTAAGTAGAAATCTCCCGGAGTTCATGTTCTCTAGCAGTTTCCTAGAGCGAAGTTTGAGGGTCCGTGTGACAAGCGAAGAAGTAGATCTAGAAGAGCAGCGCAGTAGAGAGAGGACCGCACTGTGGCGAGTCTGCTGCTGCCTGAAGTTTGGTCTGGATCCTGGGACAGTGTGAGCATCTCTACAATTGGGGCACTCAGAAAGCCACATTGTGATTCAGAGTTTCAGATTAGGGGTCCTCAACCATGAAAGGCTATGCGGATGTTCTAAAGTGTGACTCTGGAATCTGAGGCGTTGCTGGTCTCAGCCTGAGTTATCTTGGGTAAACCAGTTTTTCTTTTCATTAGTCCATGTTTGCAGGGCATCGTGTTTACAATCCCGATGGGGCATTTGTGTGTGTGAATAATGCTGCACATCTTAACTCATTGTTTTTGTCCTCTTTCCCTTCCTTCCCACCCTTCCATCATCTCTTTTGTTTTTTGAGGCAGTGTCTTGCTATGTAGTTCAGGCTGGCCGTGAACTCACTATATAGCTCAGGCTGATCTCAGCCTCCCGAGTGCTGGGATTACAGGTGTGCGCCACCACACCCAACCCGTCCTTCAATTAGAATATACAACAGATGCGTTTGAGTGGGTTTGGAGCGTTCTTTCTTTTAATCCTGGCTGGTGTTCTCTCGGGTGTGGACGGTGGTCTCAGGATGGCGGGGTTAGCAGGGTTCTTGCCCATGGTCGAACATGGGGTTTACCGGAAAAAGACGCATCCTGCTCATAGTCCGTAGGCACTGTCTGCACCCGGGCATTGGATTAGTTCCTATGTATTATTTTGAATAGCGTGGCTGAGGGACCATTTATTTCCGGGGAAAACCTCGACACCTCCAGTGACCTGATGCTGGCACAGATGCTGCAGATGGAGTTTGACAGGGAGTACGACGCCCAGCTGAGGCGTGAAGAAAAGAAATTCAATGGCGACAGCAAAGGTACAGTGACTTCTCTGTGATGAGCACAGTGAGTGGGAGAAAGCGCTTGCACCGTGCTCCCAAATACATCTTCCACGCTGTTTGCTTTTCAGTTTCCATTTCCTTTGAAAATTACCGCAAAGTGCATCCCTTTGAAGACAGCGACAGCTCTGAAGACGAGGTAGACTGGCAGGACACTCGCGACGACCCCTACCGGCCAGGTAGTGTAGTGGCGCTGGAGAGGGGGACGCAGGAGGGGTAGGAAGAACCCTTTTACTTTTGTATTTATCCTTGCACTTCACTTGGTAATTGTTAGATTCAAATTCCTGTTCAGGCAGTGTTGACTACAGCAATTTAGTTTTTGCTATTTTCATATCCTTGGCTTGTTTCAATTGCCTTTAGCAAAACCAGTTCCCACTCCCAAAAAGGGTTTTATTGGGAAAGGAAAAGACATCACCACCAAACACGATGAAGTGGTGTGTGGGAGAAAGAATACGGCACGGATGGAGAATGTAAGTTACAGATTCTGCTTCTCACTCCAGAGTTTTGTTCAAATACATGCAAAACAGGATAAAAAACTTAAATTTTTCTAAAAATGTCTTTTTTCCTGAAGATACTTTAGATATCATGAAAATTCAGCCACCAAAGAAATATAAAGTGCCTCACAATGAAGCCCTCCAGCAGTATTTTGAAAGCTAATTTGATTTATATAGATTCTAAAATTAAAGAGTTCTTATACAATATTTATTTTCCTGTATATTATTTTCTGTTAAATAGCACCCCTATCCAAGAAACAGATAACAGTGGTCACTGGAGTGAAAAATACTTTTTACTATATATCTTTTTATACTTTTGTTTTTTGTTTTTTTTTTGCTCAGGATTTGAACCTAGGGCCTCACGTACTAAGTAAGCACTTTACCACTTAACTGTACCTCAGCTGGTATTTTTTATAGGATTTTTTGCCTTGTGCCTGAACTACCTCTTGCAAAATCAGAAATAAAATGTAATTTTAAAGAAGTAGCATTCTAGAGCCAGGTGTGGTGGCTCATGCCTGTAATCCCAGCACTCTGGAGGCTGAGGCAGGAGGACTGCTGTGAGTTCAAGGCCAGCCTGGGCTACATAGCAAGACCTGTCTCAAAAACAAACAAAACCACTATTGCTCCTCTTTGAATGTGTGAGTTTTGGGTTTTTTTCTCTGCAGTAGCTGTGGGTTCTGTTTTTGTAGCACGATCAAGTATTGAATATGAAATCTGACCCTAGTAAAGGCTAATCTCTCTGTTTTTTTTTTTTTAGTATCTCTGTCTAAAAATATTGAGATGCTAATTCTTCTATTTTGGCAGTTTGCACCTGGATTTCAGGTAGGAGATGGAATTGGAATGGATTTAAAATTATCAAACCACGTTTTCAATGCTTTAAAACGACACGCCTACTCCGAAGAACGCCGGAGTGCCCGCCTGCACGAAAAGAAAGAGCATTCCACTGCGGTGAGTGTCTGGGGGTTTGCTTTAGTGGAAACATTTATATTGGAAATGTTCATGTTTGGGTGAAAAAACAAAACCACTTTTGATACTTTTTCATGAGATTGGCTTTTCAAATCAGACATAACTCAAATGGTTTTGCAGTTTGGCTTTTCAGATTTAATATAGTGCTTATTAGTCCCTTAAACTCATGTTTTAGTGGCCATAAGTAATTTGGACTGTATAATTTACATTACAGCTGAATGTCACAGGATTAAAAAAAAAAGTTTTTCCCAGGCCAGGTGTGCTAGTGTACACCTGTAATCCTAGCACTTGGGAGGCTGAGGCAGGAGGGTCACTGCATGTTCAAGGCCAGCCTGGGCTACATGGTGAAAAAAACTTCTTTCTGTTATGCTATTAAGATATCTATAAATTGCTAGCCTTAATCTATAATGCTTAACATTAATGAAGATCATATCAACTCTCCCGAGAATAGGTTGGTTTATTAAGCCTTAGAAACACTTTAAGAATGCTAGGAGTGCTATTTAAACTCTGGTGATAAAATAAGATTATGATTAGAACAGTTTATGAGTGTTTTCTTTCTTATCTCTGGTTAGTTTTTTGAATTAAAGGCAGACTATGAAAGTCACAGCCACAGCTCTTGAAAAAGCCCAGGAGGCTGGTGGGGAACCGTGTGGAGGCTGCAGGGCCGGGCCCAGGAGTTGGTCCTGCTGGAAGTGGGGGTGTTGTCTGTCCATGTATTGCATGTTGCCACCCTCACATAGGACGGGAAAGGGGCCAGGTCCCTGGGGAGCGGCCCAGCCAGCTGGGTGGGGGAGGGGTCAAAGATGGAAGGAGAAGTCAGGAAGGGCACTGTGCAAGTCCCGTGGAAAGACAGCAACTGCGCATGTCTGCATGGCCACCCCGTGCCCGCCCCTTGCCCAGGCTTTGGTTTGCTCCTTCTGGGCACGTCTGTCTACAGGGACAGTGAGGATGGGCACCGGAGGAGAGGAGGGTACAGTGGGCCAGGAGCCCAACAGCACCAGGACTGTGGACCCTCTGGGACCCACGGCTCTCTGTCTCTGTCTCTGGTCCCCTTGAGGTCCCTACCTAGGAGGAGGTACAGGCCCCATGGCAGGGAGTCCTCAGAGAAGCCAGTGGCCTCTGCTCCTTGCCAGCCCTGCCCTGTCTCTCTCAGAGTTGGGGAGTCAGGGTGAAGAGAAGGTGATGACCACGTTGGTGCAAGGGTCCCCAGGGCCGGTCCTGCCAGTGCTCACAGTTGGAGTGCCAGGATTCTTCTGTCCCTCAGAGTCTTGCAGCACCTGGGGCCCATGGTGAGTGGGAGGAGAACCGGTTCGGCCTCTCCCTGAGTCAGTGGGGCGCAGGCAACACTACCAGTGCAGTGGTGGGACCTGGGGGTGGGTGGGGGCAGACTGTACCTGAGCACCTCGCTGTCTGTCTGCCCTGTGTCCTCCTTCAGAAACTACCCCTCTTGGGAGTCATTGTCAGTCACTTCCCCTTCCCTTAGGACGCTGGTTGCCGTGGCCCCACTGGAGTCCTAAAGGCCCTGTGGGCCTGACCCATGAGGATGAAGCTCACAGTAATAGTGACTCTGAGGCCCCGACTGGGACACTGACCAGGCCCAGGCCCCGGCCTCACAGCCCGGCTGACTGAGCCCCAGGCCCCACGCCTTGCCCCAGATCACTTCCCTAGTCTGACTTGGTGATTTGGTGTTCTAGTCCAGTGGTGGGCGAACCTTTTAGAGACTGAGGGCCCAAACTGCAACCTAAAGCCCACTTATTTATTGCCAAGTGCCAACACTGCAATTAAACCCAAATACTGAGGTTTTCATTTAGAAAAAACAACTCATACACTTAGCTCACAGCCAAGAGAGAGGGATCTCTTTCCCCTCTGGGGCCCGTGTGCCATAGGTTCGCCACCGCTGGTACAGGTATTCACTTTCAAAGATGGGGTTATGTTTCTTATTTTCTATTAGTACCTGTTTAGAATTATATTTCTAGGGGTGAATTACATCTTGATAACTCTTTTAAAAGCCTGATACAGAGATATGGATAGATATGTATATTAAATAATAAAGTAAAATATATATTAAATGAAAAAGTAAAGATGTATTTTTGAGTCTTAGATAGTAGAAGTGGCGCAGGAACTGTTTCATGATTGAGTCATTCTCACTCACCGTGCCTGGTCTTTTGCAGGAGAAAGCAGTTGACCCTAAGACACGCTTGCTCATGTATAAAATGGTCAACTCTGGGCTGCTGGACACCATCACTGGCTGCATTAGCACAGGGAAGGAGTCAGTTGTCTTTCATGCATATGGAGGGAGGTAAATGAGCCAATGGTTACACCACTGCCGTGTGCACACGAGCACAGTCCCTTGTCCCCAGGATTGGTGGATTTATACAAAATCAAAGTTAATGCTGCAAGGCCGAGGCAGGAGGATTGCGGTGAGTTCGAGGCCAGCCTGGGCTGCACAATGAGTTTAAGGCCAGGATAAACTACATAGTGAGACCCTGTCTCATAAAATTAAAAAAAAAAAAATAGTTTCTGCTATATTGCAAGTAATTTAAAAACTCTAAACAGTAAGGAAGTTTTTCTTTTCCTTAACTATTCAGTATGTTTCCCTTTCTTTTGTTTTATTTGTTTATTTTTTTTGGTACTGGGATCAAACTCAGGACTTCATGCTTGTGAGGCAGGCAGTAGAACCACTGAGCTACATCCCTGGCCCTGTTTCCCTTTCTAGATAAGGCCTTTACATATGATGATGTATTGAATTATGCTGTTAAGTTCTAAAACAAGTAAAAGTGAGTACTGGGAGCCAGGTGTGGTGGCACACACCTGTTGTACAGTACTCTGAGAGGCTGAGGCAGAAGGATCACAGTTTGAGCCCAGCCTGGATGATTTAGGGATTTAGCAAGACCCTGTCTCAAAATATAAAATAAAGAGGTTGAGGTTATAACTCAATGCAAGAGCCCTGGATTCAATCCCCAGTAGTGGGGAAAAAATTGGAGCTCAAGGTTATTATCTCAGTGGCAAAATTCGAGCAGGCACAAGGCCCTGGGTTTGACTCCAGCACTAAAAAGAAAAAAAAAGTTAAGAGTAACATTGGAGCATCATTTTTCAAGCTGTGTGACCTCACAGCCTACCAAACATCATTTAAAAATTGTGCCTCACCTCATAGAATTTTTGTGGGAATAAATGAGATACTGGGGATCGAACTCAGGAGCTTGCACTTGCCAGCCGGACACAGTGCTGCTGAGCTACCTTTCCAGCCCAGTGAGATCATATGCAGTAATACCTGGTGTATAATATTAATCTTGGTAAATATTTCTAAATTTCAACTGATGGTTCTCTGAGACCAGGTAAATATAACTTAATGGTAAGATTATTTTAAAATGAAAGATTAAGCTGGGAATGGTGGTGCACCCCTGTAATCCCAGCACTCAGGAGGCTGAGGCAGGAGGATCACTGATTTCCAGGCTAGCCTGGGTTTACACTGTGAGCTCAGGGATCGTGATTGGATTGGGTGGTGGGGAAAGCAAAAGAGGAAGGTGGGCTGTATGATCTGAAGGCAGAGACAACAGCCTGTGCTGGTGGGTTGGATGTGGGGGTGCTCGTGGCTGGAGTGGCCATTGCTGTTACTGAGGCGGGAGCCTGGGGAGGGGTAGGAGGGTGCAGTCTCCCATCGAAGTTGTTTGCCCATGGGAAGTGGGGACCCCTGCTAGACACCCCAGGGTGCCAGGCAGGGCAGGGTCTGCTAAGCAAGGCTGAGGCGCGGGACAGACCAGGGCTGGGGGAGGAGCATCGTTCTACCATGGACCACAGTGAAGGCTGGGGCCCCTGTGCGGTGGCCTGGAGGGGAAGGGGTTCACCCAGAGCCCACTGCTGGAGATGACGGGACTGAGCGAGGTGTCAGCCAGGGTGTGCAGTGCAGGAGCTCCACTTGACCCACAGCAGCCCGTCCCCTTCCATCCCTGTCCGCATCCCTCTTTCCCGCTGACTCCTCCCACTGTAGTGGCCCTGCCTCTGTCCCTTGGGTGGCTCTCCTCTGTGCAGCAGGGGAGCCGTCCTCACAACCCCTCTCTGTGGAGATAGCCTCCTTCCTGCCCTGGGGCTCTCACCTTTCCCCTACACCCATCACCTCCTCCTCCCATCCTCCTCTCCAGCACCCCAGACTCTGCTGTGGGTCCTCCCTGCTGCTTTTAATTTTGTCCCAATCCCACCCCTTATCCTGGTTCTGCTCAGGGTCCTCTGTGCCGCGAAGCCTTCCCTGCCCTCCTGGTCCAGAGGGTCTCCACCGTTCATGTGTCTCTGTACTCTCCTGCCCCCTCTCCCGAGGAGGGTCCCTCCTTGCATCTTTATTTCTGCTTTGAGTGAGAGAGTTATTTTTAAGAGTGGTTCTTTGTATCTTGTCTGTTGAAGTTTACCTTTGGATATCTTTTTTTTAGTATCAGGGATCGAACTCTGGACCTTGCACTTGTAGGCGGCAGCACCACTGAGCTAAATCCTTGGCCCTGTAGCCTTTTTAATGTTAATATCTTTTCATAGCTTTCCAAGCTTGATTCCAGAGTTATTAAGTTTAAAACTGGCTGACAATTTGGGAGGCTGAGGCAAGAAGATCTTAAGTTCAAGCCCAGCCTGGGCAACTTAGCAAGACTGTCTCAAAATAAAAAAAGAAAGGTGAGGGATGTAGCTCAGTGCAAAGGACCTGGATTCAATCCCTATCTCCCCACACACACACAAAGCTAGGGCAGAGGTGGGTGAGTTTAACAAAGTTCTAGACAACATAGCCCGTACTTCAAACAAAACTCCCAAACCTAACTATTAAGAGCTGAAACTGGAAGGTTTAAAAAAACCAAGACTCAACACTCAGAGCAGGTAGATATATACAGAATTTTTACTTGACATTGCTTTACTTGTGATCTAAAAACATGTACTGATTTAATTTTTTCTCCACTTAGCATGGAGGATGGAAAGGAAGATATTAAAGCTATGCCTACAGAATGTGCCATCAAGGTATTTAAAACAACCCTTAATGAGTTTAAGAATCGTGACAAATATATTAAAGATGATTTCAGGTTTAAAGATCGCTTCAGTAAACTAAATCCACGTAAGATCATCCGCATGTGGGCAGAAAAAGAAATGCACAATCTCACAAGGTAAAGAAAATCATGTACTAGACGTAATATTGACCTTTTTAACTGGGACTATTAGTTGGGTAGAAAAATCCATGCTTTTCCATTCGTTTACAGAAATAACAAAAGGCCTTGAAATTCTAGTGTTTAATGAGGCTTTTATAAGAAAATATTTCTACTTATTTCAGCTGAATTCATCCTTTCAGAATGAAAAGGCCGTTTTCTTTTTTCTTCAGTGATTTGAGGGCAAACTTAGGCATTTTCTGGCTAGACATTTTATCATATCTAAATGTTCTTTTAAATTGTCTAAGAATTAAAGTGTCCAGTTTCCAGTTGAGCTTGCTGAACATAATGGTTTCCCTTTTTGTCTCAAAATGTCATTACATTTAATTTGTTAATTTAATGGGGTATGGTCTTAACTGATCAAATTGCGTTTTGCTGTATTGGACTTCTCAATTCTCCATGAAGTTTGTTTCCTATGAAGGATCTACTTTTGAGCCTTAAAAAATTGAGCCTTAAACTTCACTATTAATCTTCCATTAACTATTGAAAACTTAGTTTTAATGTTCTGTTTTCTAAAGATGGTTGCTTTCAGAAGTAATTATCTCTATGTATGAGTTGCAAAATTCTTCTCCTTAGAACTTTCTGAAATAAATCTCGGTGGTCTTGCTGCCCCCTCATTCCTACATTCTGGGACCCTCATCAGCTTTCCACATCTTTAGTGTGAACACAGACTCATGACCCAGAGCTCGCCCCGCTGGGGCCTCAGCCCCGTTGCCTGTCCCTCTCTCACGGCCCCGGGGTGTTGACATCTGTGCCCGCCGCATCTCCTCACTGTCGGAGAAGAGCCTCCTCCTGAAAGCCTCCTGAGGGGCTGTGTGCGCCACGGCTCCTCCTGAACCCCTGCCAGCGCATGTGTCACGCTGCCCTCCACACGTCCCCTCACGACCGTCCTCCCCCAGGCCGTGTGTTCTCCACAGGCAGACACTGGTTTTGCTGTGTATGTAGGGCCACACTGCCAGGGCCTAACATTGTGTCAGCTCAGGTTAGGTATTTGTTGAAGAAATGACCTATTTTCTCCTGATCTTTATATTCTTAACCATTTATTTCTATGTAGAATGCAGAAGGCTGGAATTCCTTGTCCAACAGTTGTATTGCTCAAGAAACACATTTTAGTTATGTCTTTTATTGGCCATGATCAAGTTCCAGCCCCTAAATTAAAGGAAGTAAAGCTCAGTAATGAAGAAATGAAAGAAGCCTACTATCAAACCCTTCACGTAAGTTGTGCCTTTCAAAGTCTTTGCATGCTGATTTTAAATATCCTTCCTCTAGCCATGTATGGGGGCACACAGCTGTAATCCCAGCTACTCAAGAGGCTGAGACAGGAGGGTCACTTGACCCTGATCTTTGAGACCAGCCAGGGCAACACAGTGAGACCCCCCCCCCCCCCCCACCAAACCAAAAAAAAAAGTCCTCTAAACTTTAAAAAGTTTTCCTTTGTAGTTTTTCAAGGTGTGTTAAGGACAAAGAACCGTTACAAGGGTTCTTTGTGTCAGTGTGTGGTCTGGAGTAGTTTTAGAAAACTGAGAGACTCCTCGGAGCAAGAGAAAGCTTCGTTGTCGGCCTCAGTAACTTTGCACATGGAGCCGATTTTCACAAACTCCCTTAAATATGACTGATGCTATTACAAGTGGCAGACGTAGGCTTTGCGAGTCTGCGCTTTCTTGGATCACAGTGCAGGAGGCTGGAGGACCATGAGGGAGGATCATGCCGGGTGAGGGCCTTAGTCGGAGCCGCTTATGCTTTGGGACAGCAGCTGGGTCACATGTGAGGCCTTCGGGCTTCAGGAAGAGCTCCGAGTGCTGTCACCATTCCTGGCACTGTTGTGACTGAACATGAGGGCCGGTGTTTCAGTCTCCCGGAGCCCAGAGCCAGGAGGCAGCTGGGGTAAAGATAAACATTTATTTACCCAAATGCACATGGCTGCCTTTCCCACCTCAGAGGGTCAATGGAGTCCGCTCTTCTGCCTCCTCTGGGAGCTGGGGAAGAGGGAAGTAGTGCTGAACCTGTGCTGTGTAATTCCACGGAGGGCAGCAAGCAAAGGCATTTGTGTTGATTTCTACTCCGAGGCTAGGGCCGCTGTCAGAAATGAATATTACCGCTTAGCTTAAAAGGAAAGGGCATCTCTTTTCCACCGTGGCAGCCTTGTTTCCCCCGGGAATTACACGTATACTCCGGCAGAGGTCGGACTGGCTGCCACCCCACCTGCGCGGGAATGCAGAGCCGCACCCCAAGTCCCCACCCTTCCTGAACAGCAACCAAAGCCCAGGCCTAGATTCCGTAGAGTAGAAAGGAAGTAAGTTGTTGGGGGGCTGAGGATGCAGCTCGGTGTAGCATTTGCCTAGCATGTGCCGGGCCCTGTGTTCAGTTCCCCGCATTACCAAAAAATGAGGAGGAAGTTTCTTAGGCTTGTTTTGTGTTTCTAGAAGAGGGCATTCTGTCCACATGTACTTGTGCAGGTAGGTACGTTAGAACCTTTCTGCACGTCTAAGAGTGTGCCTTGCCCCTCAGCTGATGCAGCGGCTGTATCACGAGTGCACGCTGGTGCACGCCGACCTCAGCGAGTACAACATGCTGTGGCACGCCGGAAAGGTGAGGATCCGTGCGCCTGTGGGGCCCGCAGCCGCCGGGAGCTGCGTGTGAACACCCCACGTGTGCTGTCTCGCAGGTCTGGCTGATCGACGTCAGTCAGTCGGTGGAGCCGACGCACCCTCACGGCTTGGAGTTCCTGTTCCGGGACTGCAGGAACGTTGCCCAGGTCGGCCGTCCCCGGGTCCCTGCTTGGGCGGTGCAGCGGCTTCCCGTGTTCTCTCCTTCCAAAGACAGTCAGCTTGAGGGCCGTGTTCTCAGAGACTGGATAGAAGGGTACTGGCCGCTTTTAGGATAAAGAGATAGAGATCAGTTTGAGATTTCATTTTTAGTAAGTATTTGGTTCCATGTCTCACATTTCAGCAAAATTCCCAGAGTGAAATATTAGCTCCTAGTGTTTAAACAGTTGAGTGGACATTTGCTGTGCACGGTGCCTAAACATAAACTCGCATGCTTACTGCCATTATTATTGCCAATAGAGAGAGGATGAGAGCCAGGCGGGGTGGTGCACATCTGTAATCCCAACACTGGGGAAGCTGAGGCAGGAGAATCACTTCAAGTTCAAGGCCAGTCTGGGCTACATAGTGAGACCTGTCTCAAAAAAAAAGATTCAGGGAGATAAAAGCAGAGAGCTGGGTCCCATCCGTTTTCCATTTTGAAGGGAAATGAGTTATCAGCAGAAAAGATAGAAGAGCTCCATAGGGAGATAACTTCTGAGTCTGCCTTGAAATTTTAGCTCAAGGGGTTTAGCGAATGTGTTGCATCTACACAGCAAAGTGCCAAGCTGGTCTCACTCACAGTGCGGAAGGTGGAGCACCACAGACCAGAGCCAGAGGGCAGAACAGATGTGTGAGAGAGGAAGCCAGGTACGCTGTGGGTTTGTACGAGAACCTCGCTGACGGCCCTCACTGGCCTTCCTGTATTTTGCTCAGTTTTTCCAGAAGGGAGGAGTGAAGGAAGCCCTGAGTGAGCGGGAACTTTTCAATGCTGTTTCGGGCCTGAACATCTCGGCCGATAACGAAGCGGACTTCTTAGCAGAGGTGAGTGGCAGAGGGTGGCGGTTCACCTTGCTGGTGAGGAGCGCAGCACGGAGGGCAAAGTTTATGCTCTCTTCCCCTGAACAAAACGGATTGGAGGCTTTTCTTGAGATGGATTTGGTCCTTTTCAGGTTTAAAACTTAGAATAAATATGTAGCAAAGCACTTCTAGAAGAAGTTCACCCTTTGGCTAAGATGGACAAATAACACATTTCCAATATAGTCCCGTTTCTGTTTCCTAAATGAGGAAGTTGACAGGTGAACACCCTGGTAATACAAAAAGCAATAAATATGGTGCCTGCCCTTAATAGAACAGAGAGTTAGAGGTGACCCTCCTTAAAATACACAGTCATCAAAAACCAAAACACCTCCCTCCAGGGGAGACTGAACATTTAACAAAGTTGCGAAATAGCAGCTAAGCATCCCCAGCTTTGTGGCAAAGCAGAGAACAGCTCTAGAGTCTGTTCTAGAGCTTCCCAGCAGGACTTGCGGTCAGCTTTGCTGGACCCTGAGCCAGGGCAGAGGTGACAGGAAGATGGTGAATTCAGCCCCAGTGCAGTAGCTCAGTAAGTACTGGTAGCTGTTTCAGTTTTTCAACAGATGTTGGAATTTCCTTTTTCCTGTTCTTGGAAAGCTTTATAAAGTACAGGTATTCCTCATTTTAACAACTTAAAAGTTTAATGACTTTTGCACTTACAACCAAGGTTCACTGCTTGGACTTATGACCCACAGCTGGGACTTAAAACCTGTCTTTCCTTAGTACGATTCTGTCCATCTTGTTTATAAAGCATCAGTGTCCTTTTTTTTGCACCGTACACCTTGTTTTTACTGTAACTTTTGCTGATTGTACAGTTTTGCGCTTTTATGATAATGGGTTTGGGGATGCAGTTTGGGCAGTCGGTCTCTAAAAGGATCGCGTCGCCATCACTGTCCTAGGTAATTATTAAGAGACTAAAAATATCGCCTCCATCTACACCATGGTTTCCGTAAAGGAGGAGTTTGACAGAGGGCCCCGATGTGTTGATTTTGTAGATAGAAGCTTTGGAGAAAATGAACGAAGATCACGTTCAGAAGAATGGAAGGAAAGCAGCTGCGTTTCTGAAGGATGACGGTGGCCCGCCCATGCTGTCCACCGAATAGTGCCAGCCCCTGCTCTAGGTGGCCACGGCGGGGTTGTCAGCTGCCTGTGACAAAGGAAGGTGTGGGCACCTCAGAGGCTCCAAGCTGGAGGAGTGGACCATGGTGCTTCTGTGCATTTCTCCCTTATAACCCAGACGTGTGGAATTTTCAGCTTGGCATTGAGAGAATAAAATGTCACTACCTCTCCTCTTAACAGCAGGATAATAGAGTTCTTTAACAGCTGTAGGGCATCTAGCCGAGGGAGACTGAATTTTACAGGACTTGTGGTATAAAATGTCGTGATGAGAATTTTAAAACAGGTTTCTCAGTATGGGAGAAAAGGACAGATGTGTTTCCAAGGGAGGTTTGGTGACAACGCCTTCGCTTTTTCACCTCTGTTTTGTGTTGCATCTTTCCTCCAGTGCCATCAGCTTCAAATTAGCCCTTCCCAGTTCTCTTTGCACTGACCATGGTTCTAAGGGGACATGTCTGTCCTTGGTGGGTGGCGAAAGGGGAGATTTGGTTTCAGATTGGCTGATGGAAGTGGACGTACATATTGGCGCATCATGAAAATGAGTGGAGTTTTACTTTTGTTCATGCTCATCTCTAAGCAGAACCATCATGGCTTTTGGAAAGAGATCAATGTGTAAGAACTTCCTACCCAGCAGAATTTTAAAATTTCTCTTTCAGCTTTCCTACTCTGAGGTTAAATGGTCGGGCTGCCCTGCGAGGTGGTGTCCCCTGCATTTTAATGAAATTATCTGGGAGGACAGAATGTAAGACTTCATCTTATTTTAATGCAGTCAATGAAACAAATTTCAGTTACGTTTCACTAAAACTCTACTTACTGGCTTCGAGAGAAATAGAACAAACTAATTAGAACTATTAAATAATCAGTAGATGAAAAGTATGTACGCAGCAACTTGGACACCAAACTCACCAACGTTTGTGAACTCCCTTCTGATAGCTCTTAGCCCTCATTGGATTCCTCTTTTAAAAAGCAAGCCTTGGGCTGGGGATTTAGCTTAGAGGTTTCGCCGCCTGCCTTGCAAGCTCGAGGACCCAAAGTTTGATCCCCAGTACCAAAAAAAAAAAAAAAAAAAAAAAAAAAAGAAAAAGCAAGCCTTTGCTGGAAAAGTGTACTGGTTCTGCTGGGAGGGAAGTTCATGACCGCCATGTAACCCTTCCTCCAAATACTGAGGTCAGCGCGCAACCACTGAAGACCCAGGCTCACCGTCTGGTAGTAGAAAGAAAAATCCAGATGTGATTTGCCTTTGAAAGCTTCTCTCATAACATTTTAAAATGCCAAATGTGTTCCTCCTAGGAAAATATTCATTTTTTGTTTCTATTATAGCTTTTAATGCATTTCAGAGGAGTGTAATTTTTGGATAGAATCATTACATTGTGGAAACGTTGGCTTCTGAAACAGATTTACATGACTGGTAATTATAGACAAATTTCAGAACTAATTTTTAAAACAATCATTTAAAACTTGTTTGTTTTGTTTTCTGACATAAGCTGTTTGACAAAAAGCAGCGACATATTGCTTGGAGTGTGCTGTGAACATGAATTTTAAGAAATTAAAAATGCAGAGATGATTTTAGCACTGATTTGTGTTGTTTCTTCCCGTTCCTTACCTTAGCTCCTATCCTGGCCTCATGTTGCCCTCTTTCTATAATATTAGCAGCATGATGTTTAACAGCTTCTTCCCCCTCAACTTCTACTTGAATTTCATTCTCAAATGGTCTGTTACACATTTTAAATGTTTTTTTCCCTCTTGTAGGTCAAAAAAGTTTTTTTGGGTTTTTTTTTTGGGGGGGGTGTTGAGACAGGATCTCACTATGTAGTTGAGACTGACCTGGAACTCACTATGTAGCCCAGGCCGGTCTTGAACTCACAGAGATCCTCCTGCCTCAGCTTTCCGAGTGCTGGGATTACAGGTGTGTGCCACCAGGCCCGGCAAAAAGTAGATTTTTCTCATAGTGGAAAAAGAAAATGAAAGATGTTGGTTTGCTAAATAATCCAGTACTGTATAAAATATGGAAATGGAAATCTGTTACCTGACATTAATGAAAGTAGACATGCAGCAAGATAATTCATTGCCAGTTTCCTTCATCTAAAAAAAATCAGATTCTTAGAAATTTAGAAATATTAAAGTAAACTCTTTTGTATTCCTTGAAATACCACTGTTTATAGAGTGGTATACATCCCTGCCAATTTTGCTCCCTAGAAGCATGTTTTTGTTTGGTTTTTAAGACAGGATCCCTGTAGGTTAAGCTGGCCTTGAACTCACTGTGTAGCCCAGGCTGGCCTCAAACTTGGGGTGCTCCTCCTGCCTCAGCCTCCCCAGGGCTGGGATCACAGGTATATCCCATCACATCAAATGATCACTGGCATCATTTTTTTTTAAATCTTCAGGTGGGCATAGTGACACTGGCCTATAATCCCAGCACTTGGTGAGACTGAGGCAGGATCACAAATTTGAGCACAGCCCTAGCAATTTAGCAACTTAGACTATGTCAAAATAAAAAAGAACTGGGGATGTAGCTCAGTGCAGTGGCTTTGGGTTCAGTGTCTTGTAACACACACACACACGCTAATAATAAAACCTTTGAACAAGTCAGGTGTGGCATGCGCCTGTAATTCCAGAGTTTGGGAAGCAAAAGCAGGAAGATCACAGATTGAAAGTGAGATCCTGTCTCAGAAGAATAATAAAAGGTTACATTTGGAACTGCGTTTTCACTGTCCCCATCTTTCCAACTTTCACCTAGACACAGCTAGCTTTTTGCAGAGTTAAGATCAAGTGGAGTAGATGGTGAAGTAGCAGATGCAGGAGGAAGGTAGGATATTCAGTATGAGTGAGCAATGAGCTGCTGCTACTTATAACTATAAACTTTTTGGTTTTTGAGATGGTTTCACTTTGTAGTTCAGGCTGGCTGGCCCTGAACTCACTGTGTTGCTCAGGCTGGCCTTGAACTCGTGGCAATCCTTCTGCCTCTGCCTCCTGAGTGTTGGGATCACAGGCGTGTGCCACCATGCCTGGCTCATTTTTAATCTCATGCTTTCTAGCATAGAACACAGTCAAACAGAATACTTGAGACAAAACCAGAACAATATTTCTGTAAAGTCCCAAATGGCAAGATTTAGGAAAAGTGTGGAAAACTTCCTACAGGGTTTGAAAAGTTAAATTCAAACTATTTCTTGAAGTACCGTGTAACGTTAGTGCATAACCAAATAGAGCTACGCATCTATTGAGCCTTTTTGGAGTTGTAGGGTACTCAGAAGAAGCTAAAACACCGGCCAGAACAATTGAAGCTTGCAGTCTGTGTGCTGAAGGCTTCACCCCTGTGTACCTGGATTTGGAAATTGGCCTTGGGAGGAGGAAAGGTCAAACAAGGTTGGAGGGGGCCTCAGCACGATAGGACAGGACTTGTAGAAGAGACACCAGAGCCCTCTGTTCCTGCCTGAGCACACAAAAGCCACGTGAGGGCTGGAGGAGGTGTCATCTTTACCTCGCCCAAGGAGAAGCCTTGGCAGATACGACCCATGCTCGAACCCGATCTCCTGACCTCTGGAACTATGGGAGCAGATGCTGTTTATGTCACACACATGGTTATGGCAGCCCGAGCAGGTAAACACAAAATCCAAGGCTCTTGGCTGAGGGTTGGGGGAAAGTTACCTCCTGCTTCAACTGGTTTAGGAACTATGGTGCAGCGGCTTCCCGTGTTCTCTCCTTCCAAAGACAGTCAGTTTGAGGGCCGTGTTCTCAGAGACTGGATAGAAGGGTACTGGCCGCTTTTAGGATAAAGAGATAGATAGGAACTTTGCTAGGAGAAGAAAGTATGCAGGATATTTGGGAAGTTTTCCGATGAGGTCCAGGGAACATTGCCTGTGACTGGTGAGGACGCATGGAGAATGGTGGACTATTGGAAACAGCAGGGGAGCTACTTACAGTACGCTAAAGAGTAGGGAGATGTGCACACAGATTATCAACGTGATGTCCTCAAGGGCTTGCATGGATTCTAAAATACTGTGAAGCAAGGTTTTAATTAAAATTTTTTTTGTACTGGAGTTAGAACTCGAGACACGCTAAAGAGTAGGGAGATGTGCACACAGAATTATCAACGTGATGTCCTCAAGGGCTTGCATGGGTTCTAAAATACTGTGAAGCAAGGTTTTAATTAAAATTTTTTTTGTACTGGAGTTAGAACTCGAGACCTTGGGCTTGGGAGGCAGGTGGCGGAACCACTGAGCCAAGTCCCCAGCTCAGCAGAGTTTTTTTGTTTTTTGTTTTTAATTATTATTTATTTATTTTTGGCTTTTTGAGACAGGGTCTCACTATGTAGTTGAAACTGACCTGGAACTCACTATGTAGAAGAACCACTGAGCCAAGTCCCCAGCTCAGCAGTTTTTTTGTTTTTAATTATTATTTATTTATTTTTGGTTTTTTGAGACAGGGTCTCACTATGTAGTTGAAACTGACCTGGAACTCACTATGTAGCTCAGGCTGGTTTGAACTCATCAAGATTCTCCTGCCTCAGCCTCCTGAGTACTGGGATTACAGGCATATGCCACCACACCCAGCTCAGCAGGGTTTTGGGGCTGAGGTTGGTTTGTGTGTTTGTTTTTTCTGACAATCTGGAAGAATACAGACCATGTGGAGCTAACCTTGAGATAAGATTAACTACCATGCAATTTACTACCCAGTTATCAATCTAGATTCAGAAGACTCAGACTTTGATATTAATCTTAGTTTACTTATTTAAAACACTTTTTTTATGTTTGTTTTTGAGACAGGATCTCCCTCTATAGTCCAGGCTGGCCTTGAAGTCACATTGATAAGGTCCCAAGCCCTTATATTCTGAGCTGGGCCAAGGGTTGTATCATGAAAACCTGTGAGGCAAAGGGGCTTGGGCTGGGGTGGTTAATCCTGAAGCTTGCAGGAAGAGATTTTCTGCCTCAGCATCCTGAGTGCTGGGATTAAAGTCATCAGCTTGGCTTTTCTGTATCTTCTGTTACCCTGGTACTGACAGAAAATCTTCATGCTCTTAGAGCCCCAGCAGAGTCCAAGAATTAAACTGAAAGCTGAGTGTGGTGGTGCATGCCTATAATCCCAGCATTTGGGAGGCTGAGGCAGTAGGATCACCGAGTTTGAGGACAGCCTAGACTACATGGTGAGTAGTCAGCCTGAAGTACACCATAAGACCCTGTCTTCAAAACAAAACAAACAAAAAAACCCCAAATAATTAAATTGACATAGGGTAGGTGAACAGGAGAAAGCCTTTCATGTTCATACAAGTTTTACATGGCATAGAAACACTTCTAGGGCCAGGGATTTATTTAGTTCAGTGGTTCTGCCGCTTGCCTTGTAAACGCAAGGACTTGAGTTCGATCCCCATTTCCCCCCAAAAAAAAGAAAAAATTAAGAAAATGAAAATCCAAAGAAGTATAATGGGTTACTTATGCACTTAATTGGACAAAGACTAGTGAGTCATGAAGAACGACTGAATTATGAGGGAAGGCTTGGAGACCCTTAAAGTTTTCACAAAGATGAGTTATTTTCCCAGCTCAGTGGTTCTGCCGCTTGCCTTGTAAACGCAAGGACTTGAGTTCGATCCCCAGTTCCCCCCCCAAAAAAAAAAAATTAAGAAAATGAAAATCCAAAGAAGTATAATGGGTTACTTATGCATTTAATTGGACAAAGACTAGTGAGTCATGAAGAGCGACTGAATTATGAGGGAAGGCTTGGAGACCCTTAAAGTTTTCACAAAGATGAGTTATTTTCCCGAGGTCTGTGCAGACTCCTTGCATCTCAACTGGAGGTCGGGACATTGTTTTCTTCTAGTGTGGTCAGAGCATCTTTCATGCAGGAAATCTTTCTTCAGACCAAACCATTGTGTAACCTTAGGTCTTGGAGACTGGCTTTAACACAATCCCATCAGGAATGTGAGCAGATATCCAGGGTCAGCAGTAGTCTTTCAGAGTCCACACGAGTGCCCT